CTCAAGATACACAACTATTTTATGTGCCACTAAGAAAATATTAATGTCAAACTATCACAAACGAGCGATTCATGTTACTCAGAGATGGTATAATGTTGAGGGAACAGTGAGTCCTATAATTAATGATGAAGACCTTTTAAACTTTATACAGAAACCTTCCCACCCCCAACGATGAAGGAAAAGATTTCAAGCATAAAAATTAAAACTTCTACGTGGCAAAAAGAAAATCCAAAGATAGGCAAAAACTCAGTGAAAATAACTTGCCTAACAAATGACAACAGGCTCAGCACATGACCAAATAGATCACTGAAAATATACATATGGCCAATAATAATGGAATAAATGCTCACACTCACTCAATGAAAATCTGAAAAGCGATACTAAAAATCAAAACATTGACAAATATTAAAGTACTAGAGGCCCGGTGCACAAAATTTGTGCACAAAGGTGGGGGGCAGGTCCCTCAGCCCGGCCTGTGCCCTCTCACAATCCGGGACTCGGCAGTTGGACATCCCTCTCACAATCCGGGATGCTGCATGCACCAGTGACCATACTTTTCATACAGGTCAAAGGCATCTTGCTGTTGTATGGGCAGCTACATTTATTTGCCCTGATTATAAAAAGTAGTACATAACATGATCCTTCTGAGACAGAAGTACCATTTTCCCCATCTTATGGGTGGGAAAACTGAAGCAGACAGAAGTTAAATAATTGGCTTTGTCACACAGTTATGTGTTAGAATCAGAGCTGACCATAAAATGTGCAAGCCAGAGTCCATGCATGTCATTGCTGCATCATCCTGTTTTTTCAGTGTTAGGGTAGCCTTGCCAGGTTTTAATTTTTAAATCTAAGAGACTGTTCTGAATATACAGGAATGCATGTTCATCTCCATGTAGAATAAACAGGATGTGAACAGTTTGGAGATTCTTCTGATGAATTAGGATTAAGCAGCCACAGGTCTCTTTTTCAAATACTGCAGAAGCCACTGTTCTTGTTTAACTGTGTGTGGGATGTAGCAGTTTGTAAGCTATGACATTGTCACTCACAGTCTGGGACCCCTCGGAGGACCGGGCCTGAACCAGGAGCCAGACATGCTCTTGCAATCCAGGGGGATGTAGCAGTGCACCAAGCAGCAGGCAGCCAGGGAGGAGCCCGAACCGGGGCCAGGCACCGCACTGCTCACGCTCATCCCAGCTGCTGCGCCTCCTGCCACCACTTGGTAGTGCTGCGGCGGAGTCAGGAGAGGCTCCTGCCACCACAGCTGCAATCCCCAGCCATGAGCCTGGCTCCTGGCTGAGCGGTGCACACCCTGTGGGAGCGCAGTGACCACCAAGCGGTAGCTCCTGCATTGAGAGTCTGCTCCCTGGTAGTCAGTGCACATCATAGCAACTGGTCATTCCGCCATAATGGTCACTGGACTTTTATATATATGGACTAGAGGTCCGGTGCACAAAAATTTGTGCACTCGGGGAGGGGGGTGGGGTCCCTCAGCCTGGCCTGTGCCCTCTCGCAGTCTGGGACCCGTCGGGAGATAACGACCTGCTGGCTTAGGCCTGCTCCCGGGTGGCAGAGGGCAGGCCCAATCCCTAGGTGCAGCCCCTGATCGGGCTCAGAGCAGGGCCAATGGGGGAGTTGGGGGCGCCGCCCCCTGTCATGCACAGAGCAGGGCGGATCAGGGGGATGGGGCACCACCCCCTGTCACACTCAAGGCAGGGTCGATGGGGAGGTTGCGGCGCCACCCCGTCACACACAGAGCAGGGCCAATCAGGGGGTTGGGGCGCTGCCTCCTGTCACGCACAGAACAGGGCCCATCAGGGGGGTTGGGGCTCCGTACCCTATCAGGCACAGAGCAGGGTCAATCAGGGGGTTGGGGAGCTCCCCCCATTCACTCACAGAGTAGGGCCGATAGAGGAGTTGGGGCACCGCCCCCTGTCACACACAGAGCAGGGCGGATCAGGGGGTTGGGGCGCCGCCCTCTATCACCCACAGAGCAGGGCCGATCAGGAGGTTGGGGTGTCGCCACTGTCACACTCAGGGCAGGGCCGATGGGGAGGTTATGGCTCTACCCTGTCACACACAGAGCTGCAGGGCGATCAGGGGGTTGGGGAGCTCCCCCCTATCAGGCACAGAGCAGGGCTGATCAGGGGGTTGGGGCGCCTTCCCCTGTCACGAACAGAGCAAGGCCGATAGAGAGGTTGTGGCCCCGCCCCCTGTCACACACAGAGCCGCAGGGTGATCAAGGGGTTTGGGCTCTTCCCCCTGTCACGCTGATCCCGGTGCCGGGAGGCCTCGTGGCTCCACTGATCCTGGTGCTGGGAGGCATATTACCCTTTTACAATATAGGGTAGAGGCCTGGGTGCATGGGTGGGGGCCGGCTGGTTAGCCCTGAAGGGTGTCCTGGATCAGGGTGGGGGTCCCTACTGGGGTGCCTGGCCAGCCTGGATGAGGAGATGATGGCTGTTTGTAGCTGGTCACACACCCTTCAGGGTGGGGGTCCCCACTGGGGTGCCTGGCCAGCCTGGGTGAGGGGATGATGGCTGTTTGCAGCTGGTCACACACCCTTCAGGGTGGGGGTCCCCACTGGGGTGCCTGGCCAGTCTGGGTGAGGGGCTGAGGGCTGTTTTCAGGCTGGCGGGTGACTGAAGCTCCCAACCGCTCCTTTTTTCTTTTTTTTTTTTTTATTCTGGGCCAGCTTTGGCTCTGACTCCAGCTCTGAGGCCTCTGCTGCTGAAAGCAGGTATCTGGTTTGTTTGTGTTCTATAATCGAAACACTGTATCAACTCCAGCTCTGAGATCCCGGCTCACTGAAAGCAGGTTTCTGGGGCTATGTTTAGCTTCCAGATTTGTAACTACGTTTCAAACTGCAAGCTCAGAGGCTGGCAAGGCAGGCGGGGAACGTTGGTTTCCTCCGTCACTGAAGCAAGCAAGCCTCATGTTAGTTTCAAGCTGCCTGGCTGCCGGCTGCCATCTTGGCTGGCAGTTAATTTGCATATCACCCTGATTAGCCAATGGGAAGGGTAGCAGACGTACGCTAATTACCATGTTTCTCTTTTATTAGATAGGATGACACTAGCAAGTGTTGTCAAAGAGGATTCCCATTTTCCTAGACCACTGATATTGGGACAATCTTTTTAGTTAGTCAATTCATCCACCAAATTATTAAACGTATATACTCTTTGGCCCAATAATATTTCTCTTAGGAATTTATATTTCAAACATATTTTTAAATATGTGCAAAGACATACCCAAGAATATTCACATTATTAGCATTTATTACAGCAAAAAACTAAAAACCTATAAATATCCAGGGGTGGAGGAATTGAGAGGAAAAAAAAAAAAAGAACTCATGGAAATGGACAACAGTGTAGTGGTTATGTAGGGTGTGGGGTAGGGAGGGTGAGTAAAGGTAGAGGAGAGTGTGGGGGGGGATAAATGGTGTTAGGAAATAAATACATAAAATAAAGAGGGAAAAAATAAAATAGGGAAAGCTGGGCTGAGGTGAGGGTATATGGCAGGGGTCCTCAAACTACAGCCTGAGGGCCACATGCAAATACAAATATTGTATTTGTTCCCGTTTTGTTTTTTTACTTCAAAATAAGATATGTGCAGTGTGCATAGGAATTTGTTCACAGTTTTTTTTAAAACTATAGTCCGGCCCTCCAACAGTCTGAGGGACAGTGAACTGGCCCCGTTTAAAAAGTTTGAGGACCCCTTGTATATGGCATTGTCTGTACTATCCGTTCAATTTTTCTACAGCCAAAAACTGCTCAAAAGAGTCTATTCATTAAAGTGTTTCAGTTTAAAAAAAATAAATAACTATCCATAAAAGGAGGACCAGTTTAAATAATTATGGTACATCCAAATATTAGAATACTACACAGAATGAAATAAGGAATGATATGCAAAGATATATAGACGTTAACCACAACAAAAAAGACATGTTGGCCCTAGCCGGTATGGTTCAGTGGATAGAGTGTTGGCCTGCGGACTGAAGAGCCCCAGGTTTGATTCCGGCCAAGCATACATGCCTGGGCTGTGGGCTCGATCCCTGATGGGGGCATGCAGGAAGCGGCCAATCAATGAGTCTCTCTCATCATTGATGTTTCTGTATCTCTATCCCTCTCCCTTCCTCTCTCAAATCAATAAAAAAAATTTAAGACATGTTGCTGAACAATATGTATGACCTCATTTGTGTAAAAAAATTGTTAACACGGTAGAGACAGAAATGCTTGCACTTGTATAGAAAATGTCTGGAAACATGCATACACAGACACACACACACACACACACACACACACACACACACACACACACACAAAATGTTAACAGTGAATGAGAATAGGGAAAGCCCCCCGCCCCCTTTGTTACCTTATAACATTCTCTACTACATAAGTGTGTATTCCTCTTATAAGCCCTTTGGTAAGGAATGATAAATGCTGAACATGACAATTACCAAAAAATGTGAAAAAAGAAAAAAAAATCTGAAAATATAGCCACTAAAATCGCTAGTATTTCCACATCCTTGTTTTAAGAGAATTCTCAGATAAAATTTATGAGCGACATGAGAATGTGTGCCACTGACAGATACATAAATACCCTGACAACTGTCAAATGTTTCATTTTCTTTCATTTTGAAAGATAAAAGCATAGGTCCAATATATACTCCAACACAGGCCAATGAGAAAGGAAAGGATCATCTGTCTTCCTAAAATAAGGGAATTAGGGCCTAAAAAAGAAACATGCAAGTAATCTACTTAAGTGATAAAAGACATTGGTCTTCATCCTAACAAAACTAATAGCATGAATTTATTTCAATGTGCAAATGTTATATCTATATATAATGGTATGCTATGTATGCATACTATTCAAGCTATGTAAGTGGGTATAAGAAGAAAAGGGATTGTCTAATAAATGCAGTTATAGATGTGTTTACATGCAAGCATATGGGCATCTAACACAGGTGGAAAAAAAAAAGATTGAGTAAAACAGTATTGGATTACCTCTATAAAATATGTCAGGCAAATGCCCATCCCGCCAGATCACTTAGCTGAATTTCCAAGCTGTTGATTCCTCTCTCTATCCTACAAAAATACAAAAATACAAATTACCCCCAAAAGTATCAATATTAGACATATTCTTTAAGTCAAGTAGTTATATCTAAATATGCTAAATCTAACAAAAATTTTTCCATGAAAATACTGTTTATTAAATCAAATTAGTAGCAACTAACAATTAATGACCCATCAGTACTAAATGATATCACAAAGATAAGAAATGACCCTGACACTAATTAGACTTTTTTCAAATTTAACTTCTGAGGATAAAGATTTCTTTAAAATCAGGGCCATAATCTAGAATAATCTTAAACAACTTATAAAAGTAAACAGAACAAAACGTGTTTTATTAAAATCTTATGTTGACACTCTCCATTACTCAAACAGTACTATTTCTTGATGAAATCCCACAGTAACATTTCCCTCAGTTCAAAAGTCTAAATATATTAAGAATATATTTCTAAAAACACAAAAATATTAGTACTGAAAACTTTCAAGGCAAAGGTATTTAATAATGCTAAAATGGTCATTTTTTAAAATGTTATGCTATAATCAACCTTTTAGTAGACTAATACAGAAAATTAACACCCTATGTTAATACTGCATTGATTTCGGATACATAATTTCTTCATGTAACTGGGATATTTTTTCCTGGGATATGAAATGTAGATAATTAAGATTAAAAGCTAAAATTTTATTAGAAACAAACAATAGGCCAAATATAATTTTTTATTCAGGAATAATGAAGTATTTTATATAGGAGCCCTAACATACTTTTAGGGCTCAATAAGTATAACAGCAGAAAAATTAAGGAAGCTTTAAATCTGTAGAAAATAACTAAATATATTATTTCAAAGTTGTGTTTATATCATTTTATTAAAGGATTACAAACATTACAACCTTCTGATAATTCAGCATTTTCTAGTCCTAAACTGGTTAGTAACTTTGTTGCTACACTAGTTACAAGCAAAAAAATCTGTTTTAAAACAATTTATTCCTATTAAGTTCTTAATTGCCAGCCTCAAAGTTTTGTTCCCCGACATTCAAAAGACCACATGAGCCATTCTTCTCAATTATGTAAAACTTTTTAAATACAATGATAGTGATATTGTTATAATTAGCTAGTTATTAATATTAGGATAGGAGCAAAGGAAAGGCCAGACATTACAGGCATGTCATTTGGACAGCTTCACCAGGAAGCTGCAACTATGCACTCCCCAGGGAATCACCAGCCCATCCCCTGAAAAACACTGGGAGAAAGGGTTTCAACAAAGGGGAGATAAAGGCATGTGCAGTCAAGTCAGGGTGACTCTGGAAGATTCCTGTCAGTCACACCTAGAAATAATGATTACTGGATAGAATGGGCGTGGCCACTGCAAGCCCATGAAAATTTGGGAATACATAATCCTCTAACGGAATTCTCTCTCTTGCTGTGCTTAGCACTTGCTGCTCTTGTGACTCCTCGCTCATGGGGCTTTCTGGTTCCTGCTTCTTTGCATTTGCCTGTTTCCTCCATAGACATGTGGCTTTGCGGACCCCACATGCAATGGACTGATGGACTGAACAAGGAACACAAGCTAAACTAGCCTGATGCTGGACTGGACACTGCTCCAATAAGAAACAGAAACCCTGGACACGACTCCGATTCTAGTCCTACTGAAACCACAGCTACACTTCTTTTATGGTGGAGTGAGGGAGAGGGGCCCTGGACACTCAGCAGTGTAATTCCACAGAAGTAAAAATCACTTGTCTTCTCATTCAAGTCTTGGAAAATTCTTTTTCTTGGGATATCGCAAGAATTCCACTCCCACAAGTAAGAGATGGCGACAAAGACCCCCCACTTCCACCAGTAACAATAGTATAAAAAAGATAAAGTCCTTAAATATATTAACATTATGTGCCACTTAACAACAGGGATACATTCTAAGAAATGCGTCATTAGGCTATTTCTTCAATGGGCAAACATCACAGAGTGCACTTACACAAACCTAGATGGTATAATCTACTACACACCTAGGGTAGTAGTCTATTGCTTTGTAGGGGAGGAAAAATAATGTCCCCTATACCCTTCTGGGTTCTTGGCTAAGAAATCCCTGTAATAAAAGACAGATTAACAAAAGAAAAACAAAGTTTAATCTATAATAATAAAAGCATAATATGCTAATTAGACCGGACAGCCGAACGACGCTCCAGATGAAGCCGGGGCTGCGAGGGCCGAGCCCTCGAGGGCCAAGGCCCTTGCACGATTTTCGTGCATAGGGCCTCTAGTAATATATAAACCTCCTGAATACATGGGAGAGACCTAGCAAAACTGGGTAACTCACCAAAATGGCTGAAACCACCACTTTAAATACCATCTTCAGTGAAGACAAAAGAAGATGTGGCTGGAGGGAGTCAGTTATGGAAGGTTACCAGGAAAAGCACAGTAAACAAGGGTAAGGTTATTATAGAGACGTGTCGTCTGAAGTGATAGGTTTCTAGAGACAAATCATCCCAGCGCCTCCCCAGGAACATGAGGGAGATACCCTTACAAATGGAAATTCCCCATATAAATGAAAATGTCTTTTACAAAGGGTAACTTCTATTTGGTTTTCAGAACTTCTCCCAGGTCTTCAATTTCTTAAAATTAATCAGCCTAGCCCAGGCTGGTGTGGCTCAGTTGGTTGAGTATTGTCCTGAAAGATTGCCAGTTAGATTCCCAGTCAGGGCACATGCCCGGGTTGCAGGCTGTTTCTCTCACATCAACGTGTTCTCTCTCTCTCTCTCTCCCTCCCTCCCTCCCGCCCTCCCTCCCTCCCTTCTTCTCTCTCTCTCTAAAAACCAATAAAAAATGTTATTAAAAATTAAAAAAAAAAAAAACATCCTAGCAGATTTGCCTTAGTGGATAGGGCATCGGCCTTGAGGCTGAAAGGTCCCAGGTTTGATTCCAGTCAAGGGTACATACCGCGGTTGCAGACTTGATCCCTGTCTCTGGTTGGGGCATGTTCAGGAGGCAACCAATCAATGTGTCTCTCTCACATAGATGTCTCTCTCTCTGTCTCTCCCCCTCCCTTTTACTCTCTAAAAATCAACAGAAAAATATCCTCGGGTGAGGATCTTTTTTTTTTTTTTTTTTAAACCAATTAACCAGCCTAAAATAACCCTTATGCCAAATAGCCATATTTGGGGGCAACAAATTCTGTTCCCCTACAGCTGTTACGCTACAAAACTGTACATCACAGTACTGTACTGAATACTGTGGATAACTGTGATGCAATGGTAAGTATTTGTGTAACGTGTTATGCTAGGGAGTTAGGACTACTAGGTCCTTAGGAAAGCTAGGGCAGCACTAGGCCATAGGAATTTTTCAGTTCCATTATACTCTTATGGGACAAAGGTTGTAAATGCAATCCATCATTGCAAGAAACATTATGTAGCACAATACTATACTGTGGTAGACATTAAAAACAGGTCAAGATAAAGCAAAACTGTATCTGCACTACACTCTATTCATTATTCTAATGTTCTTTACTATATTCAACTTTCAGAATTTTTAACATAGCTACAGAAATAAAGTTGACAGAAAAAGTGTGGCAAAGTCTGTATGCAGGAAATTCAAATATCTACTAATTATACATTTTAGTATTACCTTATGAGTCCTTTTAAAGGTTGATTGGATATACTATCAAGTCCACAATCATTACATATATCATCACAGAACATGGTAACATCTCTAGACTGGACAAATGTTTGTTGCAATGTTCACTTTTTGTTTAAAACATTATCACAGCCCTAGCCAATTTGGCTCAGTGGGTACTGTCAGCCCCATGGACTGAAGGATCCCAGGTTCAGTTCCAGTCAAAGGCACATACCACAGGTTGCAAGCTCCATCCCCAGTCCCGGTTGGGGGCGTAGGGGAGGCAACCAATCGATGTTTCTCACTCACATTGATGTTTCTGTTCCTACCCCTCCCTTCCACTCTCTAAAAAATAAACAACAAAAACATTTTCGAAAAAAGCCTGCTCACCTTCTTGCATCACTTTTTATTGAAGGGCCTAAATTAAGGCTGTCACATATCAAAGAACATATGTAGACATGTTAAAAGGGAAAGAAACAAAAACAGTGAAGCAAGAAGGAAAAACAAACATGCCTCTCTCCCACATGAACACATAATAATATAACCTCAAGGTCTAAAACAGAAATTTTGGTTAATTAAGATTATCTTTTTCTAAAGCCTCATTTTTATTTGTTTACTAGAGGCCTAGTGCACGAATTCATGCACCAGTGGGTCCCTTGGCCTGGCCTGTGGGATCAGGCTGAAACTGGCTCTCTGACATCCCCCGAGGGGTCTCGGATTGAGAGAGGGTGCAGGCCAGGCCGAGGGACCCCAGCAGTGCATGATCGGGGCCGGAGAGGGACGAGGGAGGTTGGCCAGCCGGGGAGGGGCCGCAGGAGAGCTCCAGGGCATGTCTGGCCTATCTCACTCCGTCACAATCGGCCGGACCCCAGCAGCAAGCTAACCTACTGGTCAGAGTGTCTGCCCCTTAGTGGTCAGTGCACATCATAGTAACTGGTCAACCAGTCAACTATCTGCCCCCGGTGGTCAGTGCACATCACAGCTAGTGGTTGAGCAGCCTTAGCATATCATTAGCATATTATGCTTTGATTGGTTGAACAGATGACCGGACACTTAGCATAATAGGCTTTTATTATATAGGATTCTAATTTTCACTCAAGGACATGCTTAGAGAGGGGAAGGGGAGAAGGATGAGGGAGGGAGAGAGGAGAGGAGTGAGAGGGGAGAGGGAGGGAGAGGGACAGGGAGAAACAGACATATATGCCTTCCGTACATGCCCTGACCAGGAATCCAAACGCACAATCCAGGTATGGGCCATGACCAGAAATCGAACCAACAACTTTTCGGTGCACAGGGCCATGTTCAACCAACTGAGCCAGAACTCTGCTGGATTCTAAAGCCTCATTTTTTAAAGTTTCATTGAAATATGTGTGCTTACAAATTTTTTCCTTTGTATGCTTCCATAAGCACC